CTGCACTCTGACACAGAGCTAGTGAACACACTGCAGCCCTGTGCTCATACACAAAGCTAGTGAACACACTGCAGCCCTGTGCTCTGACACAGAGCGAGTGAACTACAGTCATTCTTAACTCTTAACTACTGAGCTAGTGAAACAGAGAACGCACCTGCACCCAGTGACCCTGGCCTTGTGCACCATTAACAGGGCTGATATTGAAGCCACATGTGCAGACGTTGTGTGGCGAACACTGCGTTAAAGGACGCTCTTTAACTGTGATAGCAGGCAGGGTAGTCCGCCAGTCTCAGAGCTGCTCACAGACTCCGCTCGCTCAGAGAGGGATTCCCCGAGCTGTATTCAAGGAAATTCAGTTGCAAGCGAAACTGAGAAGGTCGAGGGGGAGGAAATGAGTTTTGTTTTGTTTTCCCCTCACCCTGACTCATTTTCTTTGCTCTTTTTTTTTTTCTGGGGCTGCTAGGCTGAGTGAAAGTGAGAAAGAGAGGCAGACAGACAGTTGAAGATTTTCGGTTTCCGACGGAGTGGGGCAAACAGGGCAGGTGGGGCGGTGAGGGTCAGAGGACAAGTAGGGCAGTGAAAGAGTTCGTTCTGAGTAAGTAATGGTGATAAGACGTTTCTGTTCCAGCAGAAAAAAACAGTTCTAAAAAAACCTCCTTTTGCCAATCAACAGCTAAAGTCGGTTGCAAGGCAAAGAAGTCATGCTTGCAAGCGGACCTTGAGGACGACGCAGAAATGGCAGCTCTGTGCTGCATCTTCTGACTCCACGGCAGAAGATGTTGGCTCCTTCATTTAATTCCATTGCAGGCTCCTGCAGACCGTCCTCGTTTACATGGTCTTCCGCTCGTTATGCAATTGAGGGTCAATCACACCATTAAAATGTAGGTGAGACCACTGCAGCACAGTGGCGTGGAAAGGGATGTAAGATATGGTGATGCTGTGTGATATCCCATTGTTTGTGTCTGTTCAGCACTGTGGTAGACATAGCCACTGCTTAAAGGCTGAACACTGTATTTCAAAAGGAGGTTGAAAAAGCATTTTTCTGAAAGCAAAGTGGTATAAAGCAGTTTTATGCTGCAGGGTTTTGTGCTGCTTCTTCTACTTCAAATTAGTTTGACGCTCGTTAAAAAAAACAGCATTTTGCAAAAGTCTGTTAATTGACATTTCCAACAAAACAGCAGACACGAGAACACAAACGTACTTTTTGGCGTTCCCTAAAAAATGGATGAAGTTTATATGGATGCTTTCAGTTCTTTAAATACCTGTGGTCAGATGTGGAAACCACTGGAAATAGCCAATGCTGTTTCAAACTGATCTCGAGGGGATGCAAATGGAAGTATTCGTGAAATGTGAGGGGACATGGGGTTCTTGGCCAGACTCAAACTCTGGGTCAGAAAAAAATGCCCTGTTGATTTCTTGTGCAGCCCTGTCAGACAAGACACCCTTCATCTTCAGTGGCCGCGCAGAAAGAGCTACGCAGCCATGTCAACAGGACCACTGTGGGCATCCCCTGGCAGCTGCAGGACATCAGTCACCCCTTTACCCACAGGCCTACGAGTGCAAGTGAGAGAGAGAGAGAGCAGGGAGGGTGTGGGGTAGGGGGAGAGAAGGCTGGCAAAGTCAACCGATCGGGCTTCTTCAGAATTAACAATGCACCATGAGCTAGAGGACATGAGTGTGAAACTGCGGTTAAAGAAAGAGAATTTAAAATGGAGAGGAGGTGGCATTTCCTTACACAAAGGGTGGTGGGAGTCTGGAACAGCCTACCCTGTCAAGTTGTCAAAGCCGATACCCTGCAATCCCGGGATCAGCCAGCTACTTAAATTCAGACAGGTGAGCTGGATGCCTCCTCTCATTTATGACCGTTCTGCACTTCCTGCGCCTGACCTGACACACTGCGCCCCGAGTGGGTTGCGTGAGCCGAAGAAGTGCGCCGCACAGCCGCAGGCCCTGCGGAGGGGAAACCAGAGCGACCCCGCTGTCTTCGGCTGTGACAGAAGGGAGCTCCCGAAGCGCGAGGCCAAGCTCGTGTCAGGGCCCTGACCCTATTTCAGCCGAAGAGGTCAGCCTCCCTGAGCCATGACAGATCGCAAGTGCCGAGCAAGAGTCACAGAACGAGAAACACGAGAAGGACTTTGTCTCTGTGGTTTTCAGGGGAAATTTGCTGCTCTGACCTACGCCCATTTTAATCTAGGTGATGTATAGTGAAAGGGTTAATATGAATAAGTGGAATACAGTTCTATTTCCAACCAGCTCTTGTCAGTTCAAATGACGGTGCTGTTAGTCAGGCCAGCTCTTCTAAGGAAATTCAACCCGTGGAGCCACCAGTATACCAGTAAAAGCAGGAGTGCCCTTTCACATTCATCGTTATTGCAAAAATTTCCGAGGGTTTTTTTTTTTGTAACAATCGCTGCAAAAGTGTTTCACTTCTAAACCAGAGTCAATATTCCACACGGACTCACCTCTCAGAAGAGGCAGTATGCCGCATCACCATTACAACAGGCAGGGTGCAGCCTGCTTGCGTTACTGACCCACAGAGACGACAAGGCTCTCTGAAGTGAGGCAGTGACCCCGGGCCGGGAGGCAGGCCAGTGCTCTCTCCATCTGCACAAGCCATCTTTTCCCCACACCAGCAGCATCTAGACATCTCCGGTGCGACACTCTGACATCAGCGCCACACCGCAGCCTGCGCGATTGTGTAACCTACAGATATCAGACACACGTCACTGCTCAATGAGGTTCTTCCTGGGACCATCCCGTTTCGCCAAGGGACGTCTGGTGAATCCCAAAGTAAAGACATTTTCTTTCAGCAGTCTCCCTTGGCCGACTCGGCCAAATCGAGGTTAGCCGGGACAAGTCCATAGATTCGCTGGAAACCATTGTAAAAAAAAAGAAGCGGGGAGTTTTGCCCGGTCATCGTTTTCATGTTATTAAAATGAGCCATTTTGGATGAGGGTAACCTCAGGAAGCAGATGCTCCTTGCAAAACTAGATTGGCCCAGGTGAAACTAGACCCAACAGATCACATTTTTTTCATCCTCATCACATGCACCGATAAAACCGGGCTTTATGGCAAAAGTTGAATTTCAAACATTTTGCTGGCATGGCGGCGC